TTGTCAAAACTTCCCGTCAACTAGGAGGTTTATGCAGTTTACTCAGGATGCTAAAAGAAAGGGCATTGTTCCTAATTCTGATATTACTAAGATTGAATTTTGAGGCTAAGGTAAGGCAGAAGAGCAACCAAGATGATTAGGGGACTGGAGGCTAAAACATACGATGAACATTTGCAGGAACTGGGCATGGTTAGTCTAGTGAAGAAAAGGACCAGGGGAGACATGATAACAGTGTTCCAGTATTTGAGGGGCTGCCACAGAGAAGAGCGGGTCAAGTTATTTTCCAAAGCACCTGAGGGCCAGACAAGGAATAATGGATGGAAACTGAACAAGGTGAGATTCAACCTGAAAATAAGGAGAAATTTTCTGACAGTGAGAGCAATCAACCAATGGAACAGCTTGCCTTCAGAAGTCGTGGGAGCTTCATCATTGAAAGCTTTCCAGAAGAGACTGGACTGCCATCTGTCAGAAATGGTGTTGGGGTGGACGAGATGACCTATAAGGATGTCCCTTCCAACTCTGTTAATCTGTCTGTCTATCTAATATAGAGTTTGACTCCTTCAGTCACTGCAAAGACTATACTGTATCACTGAACTGTTACTTATTTAAACAGTTGTGGCCGAAACCTGTCTCATTTAAACCAGTCAAATCACTCTGAAATTTATTTGTGTGCACACAAGCAATAATACAGTATATACTGGAGCCCCAGCAAAACTTTGATACTTTGCTGAGCAAAAGCAGAAACAGAGCTTACATACCTTTGATCCACTTCATTGCAAAAAGAAAGACAAAGAAAAAGGCAAACATAATGGAAATTACAGAATCACATTGGAATACTTTAGATAAACCCATTTATATGGCCTTAGTATTATTATTTAACCCTTCCTTCTAAGTTAGCATGCTAGCCACACTATATTTGAGATATAGCTGGTGAATAGAAACAATATGGTTTACTGGGACACAGTTTCTTGGCTGAGTCTTCTCTCTGTTGCCACTCGGAGTCACTTTAGCTTGCTATGAATGTTTTCTTACGATGTGTAGTGGAATGTAGTCTGGATCCCCAGAAAGAGGGGCTGCACTTCAGAGAGCGAAGCTTGGAAAGTTTGGTCTGGAGAAAGAGAGTTAAAACAGCTCCTCCTTAGTGATTCCCAGGGTATATCTATACCATAGTGATGCAAATAGTTGCTTTACTTTGGGAAAATATCTGTCCATAGGTGAGGAATAGTAAAAGAAACTGCAACAACTGATGTTTCTAAGAAGAGATTTGTCTGAAAAGGTATAGGGTTTACTGCCTGAGCAGGGGATCTTCTAGTCCAAAGACCTCCAAGGCCCCTTCCAACTCTGTTATTCTGTTCTATTCTGTTAACTGATGAAGCTTCTTGGATGAGAAACAAAACATCCTCTCTCTTTTTTCAGGGTTCAGTTGCCTTTTGAAAAAAACACCTTTGAATGAAAGAAACTACTCAGAAGTAATTCGATGTGTTATGTATTGAATATATATAGTTGTGTTAGCCCTGCTAAAGTGAAACTAACCTTTAGATCAGGGATGAAATCCAGCAGGTTCTGACAGGTTCTGGAGAACCGGTAGCGGAAATTTTGAGCGGTACAGAGAACCGGCAAATACCACCTCTGGCTGGCCTCAGAGTGGGGTGGGATTTTACAATATCCTTCCCCTGGAGTGGGGTGGGAATGGAAATTTTGCAATATCCTTCCCCTGCCACGCCCACCCAGCCACACCATGCCCACCAAGCCACACCCACAGAAATGGTAGTAAAAAATATTGGATTTCATCACTGCTTTAGACGACCCTAACTCTTAACTCCAACTGTTTTGGAGGGAAACTTAGAACATTCATATTTGGGCGGGCTTTTTCAAGGATTATGATTGGTTAAGGGCCTAGAGTATAAATTACAGGCATTTGTCTGCTGTTCCTCAGTTCCAATTTTAAGTCAATGAATGCTGTTGTAGCTATGCTGATCTGCTTCTTGCCTTTTGAAGCCCATTACACAATACTATGTGTCTTCTTTATTCCAATAAAAGAGGATATTTGTAGCTCAGGGTTTAAATGAGGGGTCCTTGGTGCTCTCTGAGCTTGGTTGTTTTCTTGCAGACATTTGATTACCCAACTAGGTAACATCATCAGTGCTAGTCACCAAGGATCCCTATTTCCTGATTCCTGTGGCCTGATGCAAGGGAAATTTAAGCAGTTCCTATTTAGTGGGGGAAAGCATCATTGGTAATGAATGCAGCCACTTATGGTCATTTATGACCGCAGTCACGCAACCTCAATTTAAAATGTTTTTGCCAGAAAACAGCATTCATTTCCAGTTTCTGGCAAAAATGGCCCATTGCAAACAATGGGTTTGTTTAACATTACGGTCCTAAATTGAGAACTACCTATATCCTCCAGCATTATAATCTGTTTTAAATAGGGGAAGGATGAGACAAGAATCAGCTCTACAAAAGTCCCCACAAATTCCTTTTGACCTCTGGTATTAACCATAATCGATTTCCTTCTAATTAGTTTGCCAATCCTGAAAACAACCACACTCAATAAATAAGCAGAAATATGGCCACTTCTCTTCCTCCGCCGTACCCTTAAAACCTTCTTTTTCCAGCAAGCCGGGCTGGCCTAACACTTTTTAAAATGTTTTTAATTGTCTGTTATTATTTTTAATCATGGGGCCAAATTTATATATATCTTTTTAATTGTATTTTAATGTTTGTAGTTTATGTTTTTACTTGGCTGTTCATCGCCCTGAGTCCTCAGGGAGAAGGGCAGTATACAAATTTAAAAATAAATAAATAAATAAATAATAAATAAAATAAAAATAAAATCCAGTAGGTTGCATTATTACCCCGATTAAGCAAAATACTTTTAGCAAAGCAGTAACAACTGCTAACCCCCTAACAAGGATCAGCAACCTGCGGCTCTGGAGCTGCATGTGGCTCTTTCACCCCTCTGCTGCGGCTCCCTATCACTCAAAATATCACTCACAGCCGCCAATGTGCGATACCTGCCGGCACACGATTTATTGAGCTTTTCAACCTCCAATAGGCCAACCATGGATAAATCCAAGAAAAGAAAAGTTTCAGAAGAAAACAAAACATATAATTCCACTACATATGTTAGTTTTGTGGCCGCTCAAGAAATAGTCAGGCACGAGAAGGGTTTTGTGACTCCCGGTGTTTTCTTTTCTGTGGGAAACTGGTCCAAATGGCTCTTTTGAGTGTTTAAGGTTGCAGACCCCTGGCCTAGCTGCTCTAAAATGCAAAAGTTTATTATGCGTCTATGATGAAAGAGATGGAGAACTCAGAAGACGTTCAAGGAGAAATAAAGGTTTGTATTTACAAATACTTGTCCTCATTCCACATAATCTACATTAAAGGATATTGACAGCTTCTATATCTGAGTTAATATGAAGAGACAGATTGCTCTAATCAGACCTCTGCGAAAGGCTGGAGGGTAATAAGAGTCAGTCAGTGCAGCTTTCCAACCTGCTTTGCATCTAAAATGCCCCCCTGTGAACATTCAGCACAAACTAATTTAATACCCCCAGTGGCCATGTCAGCTGAGGAAAGTAGGGAACCAGACCATTTGAGCCACATGTTTTTCTCTTTAACCCACTTGCTGATTTGGGGCTTTTATAATCTATTCCTTTGTAAACACCACACACACACACACACACACACACACACACACACACACGATTTAAAAATCTTATATATTAATTTCCTTCTTCTGATTTCAGTTTCTCGTTTTAGGATGGAAGAGAATTGTTGTTATAAATTAACTATTGATGTATACAAAGCAGTTTATATCATCTAGAGCAAAACTGAGATTTAGATGAAATAGACATAGATAATATAAATATATGGATGAAACAAATACAGATGAAACAGATATAGATGATATAGATATAGATAATAACAAAAGTGATAGAGAAAGAGAGAGAGAGAGAGAGAGAGAGAGAGAGAGAGAGAAAGAAAGAAAGAGAAAGAAAGAAAGAAAGAAAGAAAGAAAGAAAGAAAGAAAGAAAGAAAGAAGAAAGAAAAGAGAGAAAGGAGGGAGGAAGGAAGGAAGAATGGAGAGAAAAATGAAGAAAAAAGAAAGAGAAAGGAAGGAAGGAAGGAAGGAAGGAAGGAAGGAAGGAAGGAAGGAAGGAAGGAAGGAAGACTACTAAATCCGGCAGCCAATGCCACTATTTTTATCAAACAAGTCTGACTAAATCAGGGCCACATCTGTGTTCTAGATTTTTATATTTTATTACTAGGTTCCATCACAAAAAGTTGCATGCAACAATAGTAACATTTAGGAAATCTAATTTTCATCATTTTGTGTATGCAACCTTTCTAATATATACGGTTTTCTATCCAGAATTTTGTAATAAAGTAATTTTATGTACTGTAAGTGCTTGCAAAGCACAGTCTGAATTACATTACAGCCTAATGTAATTTTTGTAAACTATTCACTTCTTTATTTTGGATCCCTGAATATTGACAGACATTGCCATCCTCTCTTCATTCTTTTCTGGGCTGCGTGGAATCTATTTGGTGGGAATAATAATTCTGTCTCATGGAAATATATGGTATGTAAGAGAGAGAGAGATTTCAAAGTTTAAACAACGTATTGATCAGATGACACTGATTCTTCTTTATCTCAATTAGCCTACATTTGCCTTGGTAGCCACACCATATTACTCCTATTCATAAAAAGTGAGGTTGAAGAATGCAGGGTTAATATATGGATGAAACAGTGAAATTAATGTCATCTCATTTTTTGAAATAAAATTAAAAGTCAGGTTATTTTATCTTGTTTCATTTCATTTCATATTTGTAGAACAAAGTAGTAAGTTGATTTGCCAGAAATAGTACAGTAAACAGAAAAGAAGTAAATAACCATTTTCTATTGCTATTGTTAAAAAAGAATCACTATCAAGACAGTTCCACTTGTCAAAAGTGGAATAACCCAGTGGTGGGCTACTGCCGGTTCAGACCAGTTCGCCTGAATCGGGAGTCCGAGCACCGGTTGGCCCCGCTCACCTGCCTCAATGCTATTCGGTCCTAGATATCTCACTTTCCAGCTCACTTGCCCCGCCCTGCAGCCCAGCTGATTTGCGTGCCTATCCCATTCTACTAACCCTGTCTGACTTAACAGGTGTGCAGGAAGCTGCCCCCATCAAAAAAGCCTAGTTTTAGGTGTTGCATGAAAGTGAGGAAGGCGCGCGTGCATAGCGCGCACCTGCAAAGCGGGTGTGTGCGCACGCTCACATTTTCAGCAAACCGGTTGTTAAAGTATGTGCAGCCCATCTCTGGAGTTATCCAGTACTAAACCTTAATTCCTGTGATAGTTTGAAAGATAAGTTGACTCCTAACTGACTTGTTATTTGGGTTGTATTGTTTATATGTTTAGGCCCAGGAATCGGAAGAAATTTATTTGATTTACATGTTATTGTGAAATTGCCAGAAAGCCACCTCTTAAAGTTACTCATGAACTGGAAGCCAATTAATCACTATTCCACTTTTCTTTTTCCGATTTTGCAAAGCAGTCTTTCAAATGAAAAACGTGCATATTGAGGGGAAATGCATATAAAAGCTCATACATTGATAAAACAGCATACCCAAAAGCATTACATTAAAGTAAATATAATGAAAAGTGAGAACAAAAGTACATAGCAAGGAAATTGTGTATGAGAATATGTGCAAATCTTTGGGCAGACTTCAAAAAAAGAAAAAAACAATTGGATGTAGAAATTGAATGAAGTGTACCTACCACTGGAAAAACAAGATGTTATTTAGAATTTTTGTTAGATTTATATTCTGCTATTCCTTCCAGGAGTTCAAGCAATGAACCTACTTTTCTCTGCTTCAATTTTCCTATAACAGCTCTGTGCCGTTGCTTGGCTTGAGTGATTGAATATCTTTGCACAGAAATGAGTAGCTCATGGGTAGAATGTGGCCATCAGCTACCAGATTTTAGCATATCCATCTTTTTTAAATGCCCACAAAGCCTAGAAATTTGCCCATCGGTCAACATCATCATCCATCTCAGACACCCTCTGCACCTCAAAGGGCAAACTAATGTTTAAAGTTTTCTAACTGTGGCTTTACAGGTTGCATGGACACAGCTATTTATAAATAAAAGTTTACGAATTAATTGGATAGGTATACAGCCAGATATAGAGCTTACTCAACAAACCATATTAATATAAGTCATAGATTAGAGTAATGTGTAGACCAGGTCATTTCCTAAACTATTATAGATGGCCACAGAGTCAGCCAGATGTTTTGAGTGTATTTGGAATTTTTGACAAATCTATCGAGTACTTTCCATGTACCTGGGCTAGACAGGTGTTGTTGTTTGATGGGATTAAAGGAATTGTCACAGGTTGTAAACTATGCTAATAAAGCTCCTCTTTGCAATTGACTGATGGTGATCTTGTCAATGCCGAGGGTGTTCAAGTGACGCTCCAAATGTTTTGAAATTGCACCCAAGGAACCTATTACTGTTGGAACTACCTTTGCTTTCTTTTGCAACAGTCATTCAGCTTCTGTTTGCAAGTCATTACATTTTGTGATTTTTCTCCAATTCTTCTATGCTTCTATGCTGCTGCCTCCAGGTATTGCAATGCTCACTATCAAGACTATTATTATTCAGGCAACTTTCTGGTATCCTATGAGACAGAGACCGAGTCACAGCATGTATTATCCCATTAAGCTATTAACTTCCCTCTCTGGTTTTTTTGCTCTTGCTTCACTTCCAAACTTGGCGATGATCAATCACGCTTCCACAAATCTGAGGTTACAATTGTATTCCACAGAATGGAGTTCAGCAAGGAAACGTGCGGATGGAATGAATTCACTTGTGAACACTTAACTCTCCTGTTACAATTTAGCAAGCAGCTTGTCTTATCTTTCCACGCCCGAGATTTTTTTTCTTTCTTGCCCTAATTGATTGAATTGTTTACAGCACAGACTGAGTTCACAAAGAAATTGGAGCATGTTTTCCATGACAATCGAGAACCTTTCATCTGATAATTTTGTTCAACTGCATCCGACAACAGAAATGGTCATTTCCTCTCAATTGGTCTAGGTTTGGTTTGGTTTGGTTTGAAGAAGTTCCTAAGTCTTCCCAAACAATTTCACCTAAGACATATAAGCATGTGTCAGGGTGGGAGGAGAGAGAGAGAGAGACAGAGAGAGAGAAGTGAAGATCTTGTTATATATGGATGACATAATGATTAGCTTCTAAAGAAACATCTTCTCTCATATGAACTTATCTGAATGGCATGTGACTTTCCCAGTTATAGTGCAGTATAGATGAAATACTGTTCCTCTGAGGCAGGCTTGTCACACAGATTTAGTACCAAGTAAAATACCTATCCCTCAGGGCCACCAACAAAATGTCATAGCATTATTCCTTTGCCGTGTTTCCCTAGTCTGCTAAACCTTCTTCCATCCCCTACCCCCTTCCACCTGTTTTCCCTTTACTTCGTTCCATAGTCATTTTTCATTGTATTTACCAAAAACCTGGGGCTTCACCTTTATGCATGACAGGTGCCAGTTTGACTATTGGTACTTGTCTGTCAGTATCAAAAACTGAGGAAGCTATTTGTGTAAGTATGTTTTTTTTTTTCGCCTTAAAAAAAATACTACTTCTACTGGATTTTGCACTTACACACACACACACCGCCACGCCCAAACAATATTAAAAGTTTTCAAAAAGGAAAATGAAAACAAATATAAACTAACATGAAATAAGGAAGAGAAAAAAGAATAAAAGAAAAGAAAAAGCTAAAAGTACAAGAAAATTAAAAAAAAATCTTGACTTTTGCAAGGTGGTCCATCTTGGCGGCAGTGTAAGGTTTGATCTGGACACAGAACAAATAAATAAATAAACCAGCTTACTGATGACAGATGAACCAATGACGATAGATAAACTCACCTAATAGCCTCATCTTGATATTAAAAAGGAAGGAGAGAGTACGAATCTTGTGGCATCCCACATAGCAGGGTTTTTTGTTTTTTTTTAATTTGATTTATATGCCGCCCTTCTCCGAAGACTCAGGGCAGCTTACAATATGCTCAGCAATAGCCTTCATCCTTTTGTATATTTATACAAAGTCAGCTTATTGCCCCCACAAACTGGGTCCTCATTTCACCTACCTTAGAAAGGATGGAAGGCTGAGTCAACCTTGAGCCTTGGCGAGATTCGAACCCTGCAGTAATTGCAGGCAGCTGGTCTTAATAACCAGCTTAATAACAGGGTGCCTTAAACCCCTGTACTACCAAGGCTCTTGTTGAGAGAGGGATCTCTCCTCCTTAACCACCAGTGAATGAACTTGGCCTCAGAAGAAGAAGGTGAACTATCACTGTTAAGGAATTTGCAGAGTAACCCTTGAGTAGCAAAGGTGTGCACATGAAAGCGATTGAGAGTAGTTATGAATAAGACAGTCAACACAGAGATATACTGAGTTGTGTTTATTTTCAGGAAACAGTAAAGCATGGTCCAATAAACAGTCCAGGTCATACATATATAAAGCAGGAGATAGCTAATACTAAAGTCTTCTTACCAGTCGTCGTAGTCATACACAATTAACAGTTAACAAGAAACAGTTCTCCTGGATTTGCAAACAGTAGCATACAGAGATATCGGAGAGCAAGAACAGCAAAGAGAACAAACCATGTTTCTAGCTCCCTCTTAAGGACATTGGCTACAGAGCTAACCAATCAGGACACAGTATGATGCAATACAGCAGTCTTAAAGCTACATTGATGGTTTATATATTGCCAACCCAACAAGTTAGATAATAGTCATTTCCTAACAATCACAACCACCCACCCATCCACCCACCGCAATCCTCTGAGACAATCCAGAAGGATATCACTGTTGATGGTATCAAAAACTGCCAAGAGGACAAGTAGGGCAAGGATGGATGCACAACCCCCCCCCCAACCCCATCTTGCCCTTCCTAGAGATAATCCAAAAGCATGACCAATGTTGTTTCCATCCTATACTCAGACCTGAATCCCAACTGAAAGGGATCTGGATATCCAGACTTTAATGATTGTCCCCAGTTCTCCTTCTTCTATTCTGCTGTCTCCAAATATTGCAATATCCACTAGCAAGACTTTATAATACTTACTTGCTGCCCAGGGGTAAAATGCACTTGCCTTCGCTACCGGCTCGGAGATGTGAGCGCGGGCTCGTGTGCGCCTTCTGCACATGCACAGATCCTTCTGCACATGTGCAGAGGGTCAGCACATGGGACGTGATGATGTCCAGGCGGGGAGCCGAGTGGGACAGCAGCAGCACCGGGGAAGCGTTAATGCATCCTCTCTCTTCAAGCAGGTTGTCGAGCGGCTTTTGCTGCGGCGCAATTGCTCCAGCGGCTTTGACTCTTTCTCTGGGTGTCGAGAGGGTGAGTGCAGCCAGTCGCTCGCTTCACTGCTGAAGAAACCCAGCCGGCAAGATGCGAAGGCTTGCAGCTTGCAGGGAGGGAGATTGAATTGGTTCGGTTCAGCAAACTGATTCAAATTGTCTCTACTGCCTTGGCCGAGCCAAGCCAAGGTTGTCAAATTTCACCACTGTTGCTGCCCAACTCCCAGCAACTCTGCACAGTTTACAATAGTTAAAAGCATTTAGAAACAAATAATTTTTAAAAAACCCATCAAAACAACACATAATAGTAATAGCAATAGCACTTAGATTTGTATACCGCTTCACAGTACTTTACAGGCCTCTCTAAGCGGTTTACAGTGTCAGCATATTTATTTATTTATTTATTATTGAATTTCTATACCACCCTTCTCCCTGAGGACTCAGGGCGGTGTACAGCCAAAATTAAAAAACATGCAGGACAAATATTAAAAAACAATTAAAAGATATATAAATTTGGCCCAATTAAAACTCATTACCAATTAAAACGTTTAAAACATTTAAAAACAATTAAAAATTTCATCTTAAGCCAGCCCGGCTTGCTTGAAAAAATATTGCCCCCAACAATCTGAGTCCTCATTTTTACCAACCTTGGAAGGATGGAAGGCTGAGTCAACCTTGAGCCTGGTGAGACTCAAAGTGCTGAACTTCTGGCAGTCAGCAGAAGTAGCCTACAGTACTGCTTTTTAACCGCTCTTCCTATGGTGGATCAATGGCCAATAAATCAATAAATAAACCCAGAAAGGATCTAAAAGAAAGAAAGAGACATCAGGTATCCTTGCCTAAGGTCTGGGTGAAGAGACAAATATTTAAGGTCCTTCAAAAAATAAGTAGGGTGGGAATCACTCAAATTTTGGTGGGAGCTTCATTCCTGATTGTTTTCTAGTTATTATTGTTTCTAGAAACCTATATTCTAGTTTTCAGCTTCTTTTATTCTTTTCAATTATGTCCAATATATACATCCCCATATCTGATTGATCTTTGGGGCAGCGATAGCATCCTTATGACCAGTTAAACCTGGGTTGGCCTTAAGAAGATCCATCCTTACTGTAATATTCCATAGTTTGATGATAGGATGATCACTTGTAGAATTTTACTTCATTGGCTGCTGCTGATATCGTCACAACCTACAACATGATGTCAGGAAAAAATAATAATATATACATTACTATGGTATGGGAGATGATACCCTATGTGGCTTCCATTTTCAGAAGTAGCATCACAGTTCTCATGAAGTCGAATTCCACCCTTCAACTTCATTTTGACAATATGCTATGCAACTATAATACAGGGAAATAATATCCATTTGTAGCCAAAATTAATTTCCATCTTCATTCTGTCCTGCTATAGAGTATACTATAAATCATCTTTGAACTATATACAATTAATTTTCTCTTCTTTACCCATCTGCTGCTGCTTTTTTTTTTACCATGTTTTTGTTACATTTGTTTTTAAGGTCACTATCGCATTTCATTCGAACAGCTGGTGCTTAATACTGAAAGATCGTTGGATAATAAAGTTACGCAGTCAGTGAAAGAGAGATGTCATTTTAAAAACTCATTATGTTTTACTGTTTGCTAAAACAAGCACATTATGAGTACATTTTTAATAAAAGTTTTGTCTGCTGGCTGAGGAATCTGGCTCCTTAAATCAGAAAAGTTTATTTTAACCTTATTTGAAAGACTGGAAAATTCAATTTCTTTTCTTCATACTTAAGAAACATGGCCAGACTGTACAATTCTATTTACGAAACTTAAAAAGAAATGGCACTATAGAAATTACCTTCATTTGAGATAATATAATATGCAATTTCAGGATAAAAACTTTTTTTTTTAATTTTCAGGGTAAGTGTTCTTCCAGATGGAAGTCTGCAAATTCTGAATGCCTCCAAATCTGATGAGGGGAAATACGTATGCCGAGGAGAAAATATATTTGGTTCAGCAGAAATTACAGCTTCAGTATTTGTGAAAGGTGAGATATAACTGGAAAGTGATTGATCTGCATACCTTTGTACCAGGTAAAGCAGAATATTTCAACAAAAGTCAGTTTGGTCTAGTGCCGTGATGGCGAACCTATGGCGGAGCCCTTTCTGCAGGCATGTGAGCCATCACCCAGCTCATCTCTACTGTACATCTCCCACCAGCCATCTGATTTTTGGGATGTGTGAGGGGGCGGGGGTTGCACACACATATGCATGGGGCAGGGGTGCATGGGTGGTGGTGGAAGCCCGGGGGAAGGTGGCATGCCCCCACAGCCCGTTTCTGGGCCCAGGAGGCTGCAGGGAGGCCTACTAGGCCCAAAATGTGGGGTGGGGGGTCACACGCACATGCGCAGAGATGGGGGAGCGGGGGGGGTCACATGCGCATGCACCAGGGGATGGGGGAGCATGGGGGGTCGTGCGCACATGCCCAGGGCCCTCACATTGCATTACGGGTGCCAGCACGCACGCATGTTGTTGCGCATGCACATTCGCGCTTTCGGCACATGACAAGAAAAAGGTTCACCATCACTGGTCTAGTGGTTTAAGGCACCAGGTGGGAAACTCTGAGTTCTAGTTTCATGTTAGCCATGAAAGCCAGCTAGGTGAACTTGAGCCAGTCACCTTTTGAACAACCTCACATAGTTGTTGTGGGGAAAATAAGAGGAGGAAGGTATGTTGGATATCTTTGCCACCTTGAATTATTTGTAAAAATAATCAGGAGGGATGCAAATAAAATAAATAAAAGCAACATGCTGGTATTCCAATACTATACTCTGCTAACTATATCCCTAGTAGAACAGAAGTAAGAATACTGAGATTCTTCTCCTTCTCCTTCTCCTTCTCCTTCTCCTCCTCCTCTCCCCCTGTAGTTTTAAGGATAGTGGGGAGAGGATAGTGAAGCCCTTGGACAACTTGGATTCAAAATTTCTCTTCTAACCTTAAGTAACTACAATCTCCTTGGAACTAGACTAGAACATGTTCATACCAAATCCTTACATCCAAAATAGCAGCCATACTCTGCTATGAGTTTGGTGATCCAATGTATTTAGTGGGCATTAAGTACGAAAGCCATTTTTTTGCTTATAGTATTGTTCTGTAATAATAATATTATGTAACCTTTCAAAATCCAGACGTGTGCAGATATGTTGGACCATAATACTGTATATCTATTATTTCTGCTCATTGGAAGCCAGCGGAAGTTGCAGTCCAACACATAACACTCTCTCTCTCCCACCCATCTTCCAAAGAATGATCACAAAGGAACTACTAATAAGAACGAAATAATTGCAGCTTAAAAATTAATTAAAAAACAGAAAGGGAACCCATAAAACATTTAAAAGATATCAGAGGAACAGACAACACTCCAGAATTAAAAACCTAACTCTGTATTCTAAACATTCTACAAACCAAAATTGTGCCTGAATATTTTTTTTTCTTTTTCTCAACCACAGACACAAAGCATTGGGCTGAGAAAACTGATAAAAGAAGGAGGGAAGGAATGGGTGTGTGTTTGAAAGAAAAATGTCCCCAAATTACAATTACTGCTGAAGGCACTTAGGTTTGTTTGAGTGATCTTGTCTCCTCTACGCTTTTATAATGACTGTGAAAAGGGCAAACTAAATGAGAAATTCCTGAACAACTGAAAGTATCACGGTCTACATTTTCCTGACTTTTCTGTCTATTTTGCAAGAGTGTCAATCAATGCAGGCCCAACCAGTAGAAACAACAAATACAGGGATATTTCCCAGTTGATGTCATTGATTTGTTTTGTCTCCTAGAGCCTACCAGGATAGACCTGTCCCCCAAGAGAACTGAGCTCACGGTGGGAGAAAGCATTGTCCTCAGCTGCAAAGCTTTCCATGACCCAACTTTAGATGTCATCTTTCACTGGAGTCTGAATGGGCAGCCCATCGATTTTGAAAAAGAAGGTGGACATTTTGAAAGCATCAGGGCGGTGAGCATCAGTTAAAATCCATTTTCTTTGACAAGTTTAATGGAATGAAACGTGCTGGACAAATCTTCTCTTCACTGCAAATTTGCAGTTATGACAGAATTACAATAAGAAGGAAGGAAGGAAGGAAGGAAGGAAGGAAGGAAGGAAGGAAGGAAGGAAGGAAGGAAGGAAGGATGGATTTAATCATTTACTGAATTTAGCTTCTCATTTAATTAAATTAATTGAAGTATAGGATATTTGCTTTAGGCAAAAAGAAATTGCAGTGAATCCAATCATTTGGTTATTGGTAAAAGTTTAGGCCTTAAATATATTGGATCTTTAATTCTATAATTCCTGATTTCTTACTGGAAATCCTGAAATTATTCTCAGAATACCAGAGTGACAAAAGCTTGACAAAGAGTGACAAAGCACTGAGTTGACAGTCCCACATCCTGTTTATGTTTGCAAGGCTGTTTCTCACTTGTCTTCCCATGGAGATGACAGTACTGTCAGAGTTTCTTGCAAAAATCAAATCCAAAAGCACACACAGATAAACTGATGCAGCAGAATTCATTAACTTCTTTATATTCACAATAATACATGAAATAAATTTACAATACCAACAGCAGATTCAGTTTCATTTCAGCAGAGCAGACGCATGCACAGACACAGCTTCACAGCTCAGAGTTTAACACACACTCACTCTGAATAGTTTCAGTTTCAGTTCTCTGCACAGACTCAGTTTTGTTTCAGCTCCCATTGGCTGACTTAGTTCCAATGCCTATTCATTGGCTGACCTTGTTAGCATGTCTTCCCAGTCATGGATATTCTGACAAGTACTCCTCCTGGCTGGTCAACAGGTTTCGTGCAAAACCAAAATACCCCAGCAGATAACCTGAAATTCTTGTTATTCTTTTACCCAGTATACTTTTCCTGGCAAGGGAGAAAGGGGAGACGAATCCAACTGGCTTTTATTTATTTATTTATTTATTTATTGATTGATTGATTGATTGATTGATTGATTGGTTCAATTTATATGCCGCCCTTCTCTGGAGACTCAGGGCGGCTTACAATGCATTAAGCAATAGCCTTCATACTGTTGGAAGAAATCTCCTTCTAGGTTCTGCTCCAAGTGGGGAAAAAGACACTGGAGACATGGAGACTGCTTGGAAAGATGGTTTAATGGTGGACAGGATCACATGGCTTGAGTTCCTGAACAGAAAAGGGCAGATACAGTAAATCCTCGGGTTTTTATGCTCTTTTTGGCTCTGCATTTCTTGGGGCCCCAAAAGAGTATCCTGATTGGTTGTCAGACTCCCAGGGGGTGGGGGTCTTAGCTAGCCTTGCTGGCTGATGGTCACATGTGCTTCCCAGGTCACATGTGGTGAGTTTCTGCTGCTATTGTTTAGAGGGCTAATCCTATCTTTGTTGGATCTTTGGCAATTCCTACTATGGCTCTGCCTGAAGGAGGTAGATCTTTGTTATGTAGAATAGACTGGCCCAGGCCTTAATGGCCCATTGACAAAGGGTGGGGGCAGGAAGATGGGAGCTGCTTCAAAACATGCTTATCCCAGGGAAATATAATATTCTGCCTTTTTCATATTTCCTAAAATTGAAAAATTTTATATATACAAAAGTATATATACAAAAGTATATATACAAAAATATATACAAAAGTATTGTAGGAAGTTAGCACCCACCCCTTTCCTGGAAGAGTGAAATCTTCCAGGAAAGGGGTGGGTGCTAATTTCCTACAATACTTTTGTATATACCTGCTTAGTAAGGCTTTTGGACCCCCCTAAGCTGTGTTTTTTTTATAAAAAGTCAGCTTATTGCCTCCACAATTCGGGTCCTCATTTTACCTACCTTGGAAGGATGGAAGGCTGAGTCAACCTTGAGCCTAGTGAGATTTGAACTTGCAGTAATTGCAGGCAGCTGGCAGCTAAGTGCTACTTAACAGCACTTTAGTCCACTGCACCACCAAGGCCCTTATGTGAGGCCGGTGAAATGGCCGTTCCTTAGAATGACTATAGAAGATCAGAAGAGGAGAACACGGTGTTATGCATATAGAAGGGAAGGAAGGGAGGAATCTCAGAAAGCCAATTTGATCTAGTGGTAAAGACACCAGAAACTTTAGGCATAAAAGCCAGCTGGGTGACTTTGGGCTGGTCATTCGATCTCAGCTCAATCCACTTCACTGGGTACTTATTGTAAGGAAAATAGGAGGATTGGGTATGTTCATTGCCTTGTGTTATTTATAAAAATAATAAAGGCGAGATATAAATAAAATAAATAATAATAAATGAGAGATTAGGATAGGATAGGATAGAATAGAATAGAATAGAATAGAATAGAATAGAATAGAATAGAATAGAATAGAATAGAATAGAATAGAATAGAATAGAATAGAGTAATAGAGTTGGAAGGGACCTTGGAGGTCTTCTGGTCCAAACCCCTGCTTAGGCAGGAAACCCTTGCACCATTTCAGACAAATGGTTATCCAACATCTTCTTAAAAACTTCCAGTATTGGAGCATTCACAACTTCTGGAGGCAAGTTGTTCCACTGATTAATTGTTCTAACTGTCAGGAAATGGGACAAGTGTGTTCACCAATGAGAAACAGCTCAGGAGGAAATACCTCAATCTTCATACCATTTCTTCTAAGCAAGCATTGAGTTGATGGTCAATCAATTCAGTTTCTCAAGCTGAACAAATTTAGAAAAAAAAAGCTTCTTATAAAATGGATAGTATTTTACATCGAGGTCTTCTTTTTTCATAAACATAGAAGGAATGCAAATTGATTGGTTGGTTGATTAGTTTGCTAATTATGAGGTAACATGTCATTGTTGACTCTTAGGACCACATAGATAGATCTTCTCCAGGATGATCTATTAATTGAGATATTTCCTTCTGAGCTGTTTTTCACTGGTTAACACACTTGTCCCGTCTCTCATTTATTTTATTTATATCCCTTTATTATTTTTATAAATAGCTCAAAGCAATGAACATACCCAATCCTTCTATTTTCTCCATAATAACTATCCTGTGAGGTGGTTTGGGTTGAGATAGAGTAACCAGCCCAAAGTCAACCTGGTCCTGTAACCTGGTTCTTCAGATGTTCCAAAAATATTCTGATCACCACTGGAACTGGAGAAAGATATTACATGTTGTTGTTGTTGTTGTTGTTGTTGTTGTTGTTGTTGTTGTTGTTATTGCTGTAATTTTGTGGAGGAAAATAATATGCTTTCCACATATAATACATGCCACAATAAAGATTCCTATGAATATTCCTTATGGCTTTGAGAACCCTACATTTGAACTCTCTAAAGTTCTGAAGAAAGTCATAAACATGCCAGTAACAGTAAAATCCACCATTTAAAAATCTTAGTTAGTGAACTAATGATGATACAACAGAGACAATCTGTACCTGGACCTTGCCTCAGAATAGCGGAGAAAACCCATGTTACCTCAGTTATTCTGGCCATTTCACATAAATTCACACCCATAATATTAATGACAACAATTGACGCCACTAATGCACATTCAGATTTAACAGACATTGGTCTCTGACAGATATTCCAGCCACCCATATGGTCCATTAAATTAAGATTTTTCTTTCTTACTGAGAATTCAACAGCTTTAATGTTGGAGAGTGTAATGGGCAGATTAAATATATATAGGTAATTTCTTGGGTCTTTGGGGTCCTTAAACTTTCCAATTTATATCCCTCTGTAAGGATTTTGGTTGATGAAGGAGAATGCATACAGGACGAGACTTTAAATACAGACTGAAATGTGTTGAATCTCTATTCAAAACTCAGAATCTTGGATAATGAAGATGACAAAAGAATAGCAGTGTTTAAAAACCTACAGCATCCCAAAATTAACTTAAACTGCCTTTTGTTGCACAGATAATGGCACTTGCAAAATCTAATCACCAGAGACAATGTACCAAGAATTCCTAAAGGAGCTACGGATATGATTGGTTTTTACTAGCCTAAAATTGATTCCATTCTAAATGTAAATTTGAGTTAAATATTAACACAGAGCCATGTAAGATATATAAAGGAAAGGAAACTCCTAAGGAAACAAACAAAAGACTAATAAGGTGCTGATTTGAATAAAAACTTCTTATGCTAATTTATAGATGCTGGGTATAAATCCCAACTATGTTTTAAAGCAGAACATTGTATAATAGTGAGAGCGAGGGGGAGGGGGAGCAGCTGGGGGGGGCTTTAAAAATTTTAGCAAGGGGTTCTCTGCCTGGTAGCTGGGGGGGCGTGACTATGGTGGGCATGGCCTAGTTGGCCTCTTGCACCACGGGGTTGGGGAGGGTCATGGCTCCAGAGGCCTTCCTTGAGCTTCCGGGAGGGCAAAAACAGCCTCACCAGGTTCTAGGAGAGGGGTGGGTGCTAACTTCCTACAGTCTCCTCCTTGGGCAGAGGGTTGGAATAGAAGACCTCCAAGGTCCCTCCCGATTCTTTTTTTTAGCAAGGGGTTCTCTGCCTGGTAGCTGGGGGGGCGTAACTATGGTGGGCATGGCCTAGTTGGCCTCTTGCACCATGGGGGGGGAGGGTCATGGCTCCAGAGGCCTTCCTTGAGCTTCCGGGAGGGCGAAAACAGCCTCACCAGGTTCTAGGAGAGGGGTGGGTGCTAACTTCCTACAGTCTCCTCCTTGGGCAGAGGGTTGGAGTAGAAGACCTCCAAGGTCCCTCCCGATTCTTTTTTTTTTGTTGTTGTTTTAGTTGGAGATGGCAAAGGGTGCTAGGCTGACCGTATTTTTTTTCCGTCACATAATTTTCCATCAATTCAAAGCCTCCCTGGATGTTTACATTTTTTTTTCCCCTCTGAGAAAAACCCAAGAAGAGTTTCTCTATGCTGTCATTCATAGATCTAGGAAGCCAAAGAATGTGCCAACTGCTGGAAAGAGGACCATAATGTAAAAATAACTCATTCACCCACAGACTCTTTAGCGTGAAATAATCCAATAAGTGTGAGATGTGGCATCAATCTTGGGGTTGG